ACCCTCAGACAGAAGTGTGTTGTCTTCATTCCGTTTTGCTCAACAGACCTTATTAATGAATTCCTNATTAGAACTGGAACCCTCAGACAGAAGTGTGTTGTCTTCATTCCGTTTTGCTCAACAGACCTTATTAATGAACTGAATTCCCNAGCCCTCAGACAGAAGTGTGTTGTCTTCATTCCGTTTTGCTCAACAGACCTTATTAATGAATTCCTAATTCAGTCTCTTAAAAAAGTCCATACACCTTAAGCACTTTCAAAATCCAAATATCCAGGTTTGATTATGCTCATGAGTGTACATTCAAATATAGACCAGGTGTCAGGGAACCTTGGTTTTCTGTCCAACTCTGTTGCTAACTCCTATGGATTCCTGGCACATCCCTAACCTTCCTGAGCCCTCGTCTTCTCACCTTTACAAAAAGGAGTTTAGACTCTCTCTCGGGTCCTTTACGGCTCTAAGACTCTAAGAATATGCCCTGAGTACCTACCATGTACAAGGCACGAGGCCAGATATAGGAGAAAGGGGAGGTACTAAGACGAATTGATGTTGCCTTAGCATCAAGAACTTTATATGCTACTGGGGAAAAGATCATACAGGGTAAAACCAAATGCCATAGCTGCCTTATTTGTGATTGGCATTGTGCCTGGCATATAGTAGATGCTCAATTTATTGACATAAAAGAGATAAAATTCTCTGTGGCCATTTAGAGAAGAGAGGCTGCATCTAAGGGAGGGGAAATCAGGGATGCCTCACAGGTGTTACATTTAAGTTGGTTTTTAAAAGGCCATTCAACTTTCAGCAGCTCCCTGATACCATCCCCTAATTTGATAAAAAATCTTAAGCCAACCGGCCAGGGGTGGCTCAGCGGTTGAGCGTCGACCTGGGATCCAGGCAATCGGGGTTCGATTCCTGGTCAGGGCACATGCCCAGGTTGCAGGCTTGATCAATGACTCTCTAATCATTGATGTTTCTTTCTCTCTTTCTCCCTCTTCTTTCCTCTCCCTGAAATCAATAAAGATATATTTAAAAAAAAAAAAAATCTTAAGCCAACATTCGAGGTTCTCCATGTTATAGTCCCAATATATCCTTTAATCTTTATCTCTCTCTTACACAAAACTATGCTATAGGCTTACTGTACCTCAGGTATCACCCATAAAATTTACCTCCACGCCCCCATTCATGCCGCTCTTCATACTGAAATTTCTCCAATCCCAACATAATCCAATTCCAATATCCCGCAAGGCTCACTGCAGATTTCCTTTTTTATGAATGAGGTCTTAGGAAGCCTCTGCTGATCCCTCCAATCCTATGTGCTCTCTCCCTTTTCTGAAATTCCACAAGATTTGCTGGCATTTCCCTTATGGTATATATGCCATTTAGCCCTGCATTATCATTAGGTAATATCTTTGTCCAAAAGATACTAATCTGTGACATCAGACACTATATTGTTCATCCACATCGCTAAACATATGGTAGGTATTCGGTACCTTATTTTGACAGGACAAATATAAAAAGGACACTCCAGGACGTAGAAATGGAATAGACAATGTTGCTAAGTCAGGGACACTTGTGACTTCTGCCTAAATTGGTGACTATTCCACTTTGACTTTTGACCATAGGGTTTAGTTGATAGTTTAGGAGGCTGTTGAGTCAGACTGCACAGAACCCTGACAGCCAGCACAATAAAAATGGCATACATTCAGTTCTCAGTGAGAGTCATCGGTGGTTAAGGAACTGGAGAGCAACAAAATCTGAGATACAAAAATCAAACCAGAAGCAACCTGGTTAACACATTAGTCTTACGGGAATTTGGTTGGAGGCAAGTCCATCCCTGAGAGAAGACTCGAATCGTACTGTCCTAATAAAATTAAGTGTGTGAACCTGTACATCTGTGAGTCCTGGAAAAGTTACTAAGCTAAATACTGCTTTGAAGACATCCTGGCAACCAGATATTTAAATACCTACCTTAATAAATGGAAAAAGACACACCCAAAACAATTATTATCAAGTTTCCAAACTGGTGAAAAGCACAAAGGATGGGTAATCAAAATAGCTTTGGAATCCTCAGCAATAATACTGGAAGCTAGAAGACGGGAAAATTATCTTTAAAATTTAGAAAGAAAAGAATTTCCAACCTAGAATTATATGCTGAGCCAAACCATCAATGAAAGTAATGGTAAAATGAACACATTTTCACAAATACAGAGTCTCTAAAAACTTCCCTCCCCTGAAGCTTTCTCACAACACACAGAAATAAAGACAAAACCCAAGAATGAGGAAGGCAAGGCATAAAACTAACAGAAAATCCAACACAAGAGGGAAGCACAAGGAACCCCCAGAATGACAGGGAGCCAGGGCAGCAGCTGTGCACCAGACAAAAAGGACAAATGCCCTAGACGAGAGCAAGTCAGGAATCTCTGGAGACATTTCTTTAAGAATATCTGATGCTGCCTGGCCAGCGTGGCTCAGCGGTTGAGCATCAACCTATGATCCAGGAGATCACAGTTCAATTCCCGGTCAGGGCATATGCCCAGGTTGCAGGCTCGATCCCCGGTAGGGGGCATGCACGAGGCAGCCAGTCAATGGCTCTCTCATTACGGATGTTTCTGTCTCTCTCTCTCCCTCTCCCTTCCTCTCTGAAATCAATAAATATATATACATATATACATATATATATATATATATATGAATATCTGATGCTACTCTAGGGCAAATAAATTCTGCAGGAAAAGGAATCTTAGTGCCCTACAAGTAGTCTTGGTTCACTGTGACTACGTAATGATGCAAACACTGAATATTAACCCATCTAAAATGTATGACTTTTTGGACAGGATACTGAGCACATGTTAGGGGCAGGGGTGAGGAAGGAAACTTAAAAATACCCATCTTCCATAATGTCTAAAACTGAAAAATCAAGAAGTAATAATCTAAGCACACTATTTGGAAATATAAGAGCTTTATGTTCATGTACAACATGTTACAAAGTTTTAAATGTTTCAAAAACAGTGACGGTGATACAGCCACGTTGGATACTGGTTCGGCAATAGCTAATGAGCATAATTCCACTGCCGGGTATAAAATTCACAAAATCTCACACATGTACATGGACTGTTTATTGTAGCACTGTTTGTCATAAGTAAAATAATTAAGTGTCCAATGACAAGAAAATGACTTAATGAAGTGTGATATATAAATACAATGGAATACTATACAACAGTGAAAATGAACTGGAGCTANGAAGTGTGATATATAAATACAATGGAATACTATACAACAGTGAAAATGAATGAACTGGAGCTGNTGTGATATATAAATACAATGGAATACTATACAACAGTGAAAATGAACTGGAGCTATAAGCAACCAACATCGATAAACCTCAAAATCCATGTAAGAGAAAAAACAAGTGATGGAAAGTTAACATATTACACTACTTACATAATTTTTAAAATTTTTTGCTCTTATTTATATTACTGTGTATGTCTACACTCACACACACACACCCCAACTTCAGGATCATGATTCCCTCTGAGGTAGGAGGGAAGGAAATGGGATGGGAGGGGCTCACAGAGGGTTTCCTACTATTTTATTTTTAAGTACCCATTATACTATCTATGCTTTTTTGTGTATAACTGAAATATTTCTAGGGGCTTCTGTTAAAGCTTGGGAAACTTGAACATTTAATTTTGCTTCATCTCAAAGCAAACACAGCTAGAGAATCATAATTCCTTATACAAACTCTCAGAGCTTTATGTTTCAGAATTCAGAATTCTTTGGATTTTAGAAAAAGAATACAATTTGGATACAATTCCACATATTCATTACACCTTCCATGGAACCTGTAATCAAATGATGTTCAAAATAGCATCTGATACAACTGAGGTAGTTGTTCTGCCCTCAGGACAAATCAGCCATTAGCCTGTCTCTATACAAAAATATCCCTCATTCCCCCAAGCTATGCTGATTCCCTTTCAAGAGCGGAGGTGGAAAGCAAGTGGATGCGACATTAGCAGACCTTTGGGGAAGCCCTGGACTCCACATCTGGATCTTTAAGCACCTGGGATGTCCTCAGCTCCCTACCTACACCAGGGCACTGATGCCCATTGCTCTGTAACCCTGACCAACAGCAGGGCATATATCCTACCTTCTTCCTGGTTCCTGCTGAACCCATTTCCCGCCTTAAGTTGTTAAGCAGAACACCAAGAATGGCTCAGCTCTACATCCCAGTCTCAGTCCTGCCTCTCCAAAGCCAACACACACACGTACATGTGCACATACACAAATACATTCACATATATACCAGTCTAGATAGAGCAGGCTTCCTTTCACTGACCCCCTAACTTAACTGATTAACCTTGCCTACATTTGCTAATGTGCATTCTTTCCCCCTCATTCCTACCACTCATCACCCAGAAGCCCTGGATTTCTAACAACTGCTGGCATCTTACTAGCTCCCCCTCGCTGGGTTTGGTCACCCTTCAATCCCAGCATGACATATAATCAGCCTAAGAAGGGATGAATACCAACTTGCTCTTGAAAGTTGATTCTGAGCAATCTTTTTATTTCATTTCTGATTCATCTGACTAATGAAATAAAGAACATTGTGCTTAGCTTATGTCCAATTAAACATCCGTTATGGTCATCAAAATCTCCTGGCAATTATCATGTGACATTCTGAATTGATATCAGCAATACCATCAACCCAATTCCCTCAAAACTAAATTCAGTAAGCACAGGACCCAACTGTGAAAAGGTGAGAAGAAATATCTCTTCTTCATAAATACCAGTGGCCCAGCTAACCACCTCTGCATTGGTCAAGCTTAGATGTTTATCATCTTTGCTAAATGCACAGGCCTTGCCGAGAGCACATGCAAAGAAAATCAAGCATGCTGGCGTGTTTCGAGGCGAGCCCACCATCTCGCCCTTGGGAAGCAAGCAGAACCTCAGCTTTCGAGAAGGATGTCAGCAAACAAAGGGAGAAAGGCAAAAGCCCTCCTTACCATAGAAGAGGAGCGCTCTGGTCGTGGGATGATGCAGGTAGGTCCGGTTGACCGTGAAGAAACAGGCATCTGCTCCGCAGCGGCCCAGCCTGCCAGTTTCCCCAGTCAGTGGGGACCACCAGAGCATGACAGGGTAGCTGTCAGCTTCCAACATTTTCTTCCTATTCAGGGGCAGAGCGTCGTTCCTAGGGAGAGGGTAGGGACCGGTAGGCTCTTCCTCCATTTTTGCGCGCCCATCTCGCAGATTGGTATCTCCAAACTTCTTCCTTTCAAATTTTCCCAGCTCAACCACTACCTAAAAGAGAAGACGGTTATTATCAGAGTTAGACTGTTTAATTTCCTTTTGCACATCTCCCATTTATCTTGATGATTTAGCCTCTTATTAAGTTTCTATTGCTGCTGTAACAAATTACCACAAACTCAGCAATTTAAAACGATCTGAATTAATTATCACATAGCTCTGAAGGTCAGAAGTCTGAAACTGGTCTCACTGGGCTAACTGAGGCATCCACAAGGCTATGACATTCCTTTCTGGAAACTCAAGAGAAGGGGGATCCGTTTTCTTGTTTTTCTATCTTTTAGGGCCACTCACAATTCTTGGCTCATGGTCCCCTTTTCTCCATCTTCAAAGCCAAAAATGTTACATCTCTCTGACCCTCCTTCTATTGCCACATCTTTCTCTGAACACAGCCGGGCAAGGTTCTCATTGGGCCCACATAGATAATTCAGGATAATCTCATCTCAAAGTGTGTCACCTTAATCCCATCTACAAAGTCCACTTTGCCTTGAAAGGTAACATATTCACAGTCCTTGGTCTGGTACAATAATTTTCAACTGGTGTGATGCAAGAATTTTTAAAACATGCAATACCTGACTATTTAGTGAGGGGCACTGACCTCTTTTCCCTTAGACTGTCAAAAAAAAAAAAAA